TTCCTCAGTAAAGACACTGTCCTTCTGGGAAAAGATAGACATTATTTTATATTCTATCCTCTGGGTTATTTGATGAAGTAATTTAAACCCACAGATCCTCAAGATGACGTTTGAATTTGCAGAAAATCAAGTGACAACAGGCATGACAAATTTATATTGTTTTTATTACTCAACTGACAAAAGACAAGAATTTTTAGACAAATAATGGACTAAATTATTTCTAAGCAAAATCAAAGTGGTTCTTTTTTCATTTACATTACAGTCTTTAAAGATCACAAGCTATTGAGATGAAATCTCCTTTACTGTGTCAGCAAAATAAACACAGTATGTTCACAGAGCACTGAATCAAATTTGTGAATATAGGCCTTGTTTACTATCTATTAAGATTGACTTTTATAGTTTTAACACTGGTTGACAATGGTGTGAACAGGGTTTGAAATGTTTTGAGCTTGTCCACTTTCTACCACTTAGAGAGGAAACACGAAATTGCATTGAACGTGATTGCTTTTGCAATATAAGGCTCATGCAGCTAAATGTTTTCAAACAGTCAAAAAAGAAGACCACCTACTCTCTGCATAAATTCTTAAACATTACATGATGCACTGCAAAAGTGCACTATCCAGATTTAAACTTTGGCACCTGAAGCAGTTTCTTTTGGTTTCAAAGTGCTAAAAAACAGTCAACAGGTCTAATTTGAATACAAACTCAACATTGGTGTTAGTCCCACTATCACAGCAACAACAAAATCTGCTGCTCTTGAAACCTTCTGAAAAGTGGATAAAAGAGACAAAGTATCTCCCTCAACTGATCCGATAAACGAAAATGTATCTGTAACATCCAGAATGCAATAAAATATGCAGTTACATTGCAGAGTCTGAACAGGCAAAAATGAGTCAGTTTTACACCAATATTCAGTTAACACAGGCAGGACATCAGCTCTTGATGTCAGTTGGAGAGTTGATCGAACCCCCACACTGCTTTCAGGCCTGCATGCCACACTAGGGAGGCTTGAAACTGAAACCACCTGGAACACAATAGTGTGGCCTGCAGTCTGTTTTCCGCACAGGATGGCACTTACCACATGTGCATATTTCTCAGCTGGGCTTGTATCTGGAGGCGAAAGATGTTTTTTGATGTACTTCTGCGTGATCTTAGCTAATTTATAGAACAGCAACTCAGCTGCTGTAGTACGCTGAAATGCCGGATATCATTCCTGTACTGAACGAAGCGATTAAGTTAATAAACTCCATTTGTGAACAAACATCACTCACTTAAAACATCAAAAAATTTAATTACTTTTTGTAGTTATGAACACACTTACCCTGTAATATACACACACACACACACACACACACACACACACACACACACACACACACACACACACACACATACACTGTATTACATTTAACATTGGACTACTCATGCATCAGGAATATATACAATATTGCATAGAATATGGATAAATTTAAAGATTGGTTAATTTTTTTTAATTCAATTTAAATTGCATTTTTAACCCAACTTTTGGATATGTTCACACTCTACCAGACTTTGGATTAACACAACCCAGCAGATTTTAGTTTGTACAAATAAATATATTTGAATTCAAAATGAAATAAAAATAAAATGAAATATAAGTTTGCGTACAAAAGGTACAAAAACAAACAACTCTATTCCATAAAATCCCCAATTCTAAATCAAATAAACAAAGACAATTATAACATAATTTAAAATAACACAATAATAAACATGCACTATATATATATATATATATATATATATATATATTGACTAAGACAAAGAAAAAATGAATGAATGAAAGAATGAATGAATGTTCCTGTTACCTATTTTTGTCCAAGCAACCCAATTCAAATATAATCTAGATAATGTTTCCTCCTCTTCCAAAAAGACAATATAGACTTTTTCTTGTGCTGTTCATCAATCTAACGAGTGTGTTCAGTGTTTGTAACAGAAGCAGTGACTGTGTAACCAGATACCAAAAATCTTTTTAAACAAACTGCTGCCATGGGAGCTGCTATTGGCAGGATTATATGACTGTCAGATTGCACCAGCTGAACTGCTTTTTAACCAATTAGTGAGAGTGAACTGTTGACGGTCTGGAATTGAATTGCAACTGGCCAAACAGAAACTGATCAATCAAATGGTCATTAAATATAAATGTTTCCTGTTTGCCTAAATGTAGTAATACAGGTAATGGAATGATGTAAATTAATAACTGGTTTAATGTGTGGAAACTGCAAATGTCACCAGTTCAGATGACATGGTGTGCAAAACAAACTGAGAGAACTGTGGAGTTTAAATACTGATATTTAATAGTCCATTAAAAGTTAATCCATTACTTTCTGTTTTGCCGTGACAATATAGTTGTAATGTAGTAGACATATTAATTGCATTTTCACCATGAAACATTGTTATTTATTCATTCTTTTTTTTTCCGGCTAAGTCCCTTTATTCATCAGGGGTCGCCACAGTGGAATAAATCACCAGCTTATCCACCATACTGTATGTTTTATGCAGTGGATGCCCATCCAGCCACAACCCAACACTGCGAAACACCCATACACACTCTTTTACACACATACACTACAGCCAATTCAGCTTATTCGATTCAACTATATGTCTTTGGATTGTGGGGGAAACCGGAGCTTTTTTTTTAAATTTGGTCTAAAAATAAGGCATATTGGAGTTAAATTAATACCACCAAGCTCAAAAGACTGTACCAGTAAAATTAATGTGCGCCTCATGAAAACATAATCCACTTTCCCACATTCCCTACTAGCTTACAGAACTAATTATAATGTACTTAAAATGTTGTATCACACACTTTTCTCGGAAATACATAATAGATGTAAAACACTGAAACATTAAAGAAGAAACGAAGAGAGCTTTTTACACTGCATTTAACCCTGAGTTATTATCATCATAAACATCACTTTGAGCCCTGCATGGGTGAATTAATTTTTCACAGTTGTCACTGATAAGCAGGACTACATGCATGAGGTTAAGAAAACTCGCAGCACTATTTTTATGCCAATAACCCTGCTTTATTCTGTCAAATGTGTACAGTGTGATAAAGTGTTACATTATAATGGCTAGATGTTTCAAGTACTCCATGTTCAAATGCTTTGTACGGTCACAAAAATATTGCATGCTGTACGCAAACAGCTGTTTTATTATTTGCATGGAGATATGCCAAAAAGCCTATCTGTGAAAAGAATAGAGGGCATCAGGAATTCACCCAAATCACCCAAACAAACCAAAATCTACTTTAAAAAGATGGCATTCTGACGTTTCTGAGGACAGCATTTTGCATATGATGACAAAAACCAAGTTTGCTTGAACATTCTGTGTTTTTTATGGTCATATATTGCTTGCTTGTGTTAATTTATATTTTCAACTTTTTTGTGGTTGTGATGGCAGTGTTCGTCCTTTTAATTGAACTTTACACATCAATCACAATTTGAATCAAACCAAGCCTGCCAATTCTGAACACGCACATTGTAAAAGGGCATTAACTTCAGAAACCACATTAGTTAGAACTTCTATTAGGACTGTTTTTGCTCTCCATTAGATTGCTTTATAAAGACGACTCTTCAAAACAGCTGTTCAGTTTCCGAACAAAACATGCTAATTAACTGTTGTACTTTGTTCGTATAACAAAATTTCTACCAAAGTTGGCTAACAATGGATTTAAGAAATGTACCTGCAGGTTTAAGAGTAAACTAATGTCATGTTTGCATTTCAGTTAACTGAAATTAATTGTTGAGAGAAATTATGTGATCTCCAGTCCCTGGCCTTGACCCTGAAGCAGAGAGGGCATGGCCTGTATGTGACACACTGGACAAGTTTATTCAGAGCAGTTCAACCTTCAGCTGTCACCACTGGTCTTCTGTGATTATTGAGACATCTGCTGGATCAATATTAAAACCAGAAGCTTTAGTCCACTCACAAAAGAAGGTACAGTATTCATAGAACTAGAACGTTAACTAACTTAAGCAAACTAATCCTGGGCTGAGGGAATTATTTAAAGATCTTTATTGCACTGAGTAACTCCTTTTACAGTGATTGCTTAGCACTGGAGGTAAGAAGAAGAATATGCGTTTGAAAGGCTAAAGGAGAGATTTTTCCTCTGTTCCAGCAGCTTTGGACCTGTGCTTTCTTCCCTTCTTAATTCTCCTCATTCAATTGCCTTTTCAAAGCCTCCGCCAAAAGGTCTCTCCCCTCCTGTGTAGAAGAAAGCTTAGATAAAGAAGCTGGCACAAGTGTTAAGGAGAACCACGATGCTTATCAGTGACTTTTTGAAATCTACTCTGATACTTTTGATAGTGTTGGACAATGGATATCCGTACATGCTGAGGTTGCCCTTTCATGAAGGTTATCGCAATGGAAACAATCTCTCCTTCAGCGATCATGTCATTAATGAGGTCAGTCTAATAAACATGATCATATTCTCTATTAGAGAGAACAAAAAACCCCACTACATATGTTTTCGCGTCCAGTTTAATAAGCTGTATTTCCTAGTCAAAATGAAATTTGTCTTGAGGTTTTGCAATGCAAACTCTTCCTGCTACAACTGTTCAGTTTTTTTCTCAATGTTTTAGATTGTCGTTTTGGGTGGTTATGTTTCATTATGTGTAATTAGACTTGAGAAACTAGGGTTCTGAGGTGTCAGGATGTGACATCCTATATACAACACAAGTTCTACTCATGCTTAACTACCCTAAAAAATTATGTTAATAAATGTATTTAATTATTTAAACAATCTAGCAATATTTTTACTAAATAAGAATCAAACAAGTTATATACAATGTAAAAAAATAAAACCAGTAATTGAAATGTTATTTAAAATAACAAAAAACAAATGGATTCACATAAAATTTAAATGAAGAAAGAATTAATATTGTGCTTAGAATGTAGTTTTTTTTTCAGATCATGGTTCAGATCCGTTGATTTCAGACACAGATGGGCGTCACCGCTTTCATTCACCCTATTTAAACAACCTGCAGCAGAAGCGCAGACAGGATCACTTCAGCTCATCTGCGCATGAGAACGAAACCCTGGATTAACATTGCGCACTCAACAAGCATTAAAGGCAAAATGACAGAGGTGAGCCATATCATACTTGATCTAACGAAAAGCAAAAGAGTTGTATTTTAGAAGGCTCTCAGTTACACAGCCGTACTTCAGACACCTGCACTCATATCAGCTAGGCAAGTGGGTTTAACTATTTTTATAACTTTTCGCTATGATGTCTCTGTTATTAGAGTGAGTGGGTCCGTACGTTGTAAGCGTATTGAATCACCATGTTTCAGAGTTTTTCACTGGCTCTGAGTAAGTTTTTAATAGGGACACAATTTTCCCTGACGCCGAGGACAAACCATGGAGTTATTGCGTTCCGTTAGGATTAATTTTGACAACACAAATGCGAAAAATACATTGGCACTGAAAATAGCGTAACGTTACGTGTGGTTTTGTAACAGATTTTTGTATCCCGATATCTTTATTACTGTTGTTGACTAAGTTGCTCATGGGTGGCTAAATTATGGGCGCACAAACCGTTTTTTTTTACTAAGAAAACCAGACACGCTGGACCTCACCTCAGAGATGAGGTCTGGTTTATAAAAACAACTAAATGTATAGTCAGTTTTCCTTTAGAGCTCGATTTTGATGGTTAATTCAGAAAAAAGTAACTAGCATAAAACTTAATACATTTTATACAGTATCATCATCACATCGTTGTTGTAGATCTTTTCTTTTGGAGAACCGCTCACATATGTTAAGCATTTTCAGTTCATTATGTCCATGGTTTGGCTTTATATATACATTCTGCTTTGTATTTGCTGCCAGTAATCCCAGTTTGTCCTATGAGTTCATGCATCAAGCTTTACTTGCGGTATCATTTTATTACAATATTTACATTTGTTGAAATCAATATCCTCAAAATAAATCAAATTATTGGAAACAGAAGGTTAGCTTGAGGTGCAGGAGCATGAAATGCATTTCATTTTAATAAAAAAAAACAAACAGAAGAACTCAAAGAAATACAGAAGAACTCGAGAACATTTTTTATTAACGGGATCGTTATTAGATCTGATATTATTTACAGTGATTATTACACATTAGCATGACTAAATATCCAACATCCTTTCAGCTAGAGCCCTGTCACAGGTTCAAGGCCCTCGAGGTGTCTGTTGTCATAAAACATTTGACCTTTGACATCGCTGTGTCCTTGCTGTTTACTGCTAGAGAGCAAGGCACATTTATGTATGTCAGCATTTACATGTGACAGTGGACTGTCTGTAACAGAAAGTCTTTGCAGTGTTTACACATGAACAACTAATAGGAAGGCTGTGTGTTTGTACTGTAGGTGTACCTTCATGTTTTAATCCCTGAATGATTCATCAATTACATTTTGTGCTATAAACTTCCTAAACTGTTTCCTCCTAGGGCTAAAGCACATAAACAATTCCCAAACAAAAAACCCTAAAAGCGTTTAGCAGCCAGCACTATTGTGTGCTTACTAAATGGAAAACAATTAGATTTAACTTTGTAATGAACTTCAAACAGAATACAGGTGGAGTAACAGGAAATGTCCTTTTCAGGCAGAGCCACGCTCTTGCAGCACGAGGCAAACTTGTTTTATATTTCATTACCCTAATTCAGAACAGCATTATTCAGACATTTGTATGCGTTGTTGCAGCTCTGCTGGAGATTGAAAAGCTCCACTAAAAAAGGATTTAGTGACCAGAGAGAAATCAAGGGTCAAGGGTCTGTGACCTCACCAGCCACATAGCAACATTTCTTTTTGAAAGGACCACTTAGATGTCTAAGATGGCGTGAAAAAACCCCTAAACTGAAATTACTTTGCCCGTAGAAATCACTGTGAAGTCATAGAATTGATTCACTTTGATTTTTGTAAACCAGGACCAACTTACGGGGCACTTCAGCATGACTAGCTTGAAGCTGAACAATTTTGTGCTTTTGAAGTAGTGTCAACTTTCTAATCGGTCTGATCCATGAAATTATAATAGGATGCTGTGACAGTTTCACAAATATGCAGTGCTCTTGTGCCATGGACAGTTTTGTCTCATATGATTTTATGGCCTTATGTCAAACAATTTCAGTGGTCCCTTCAAAAGATTGTAATTATGACCCTGTGAGAAAAACTAAACCTGCATCCATTGGTTTTTGTAGCAAAACTTCACATAGTAGCTAGATGGTCTTCATAACGAACAATTGCTCATAAATCCTATTTGGTGCTGGGGGAGTTTTGTTTATTATGGTTGTACTTGTTTGATTACAGTTTTTCTCAGTCGCTTTGATGCATTTCTCAAAACTCTATTTACATTTGCACAACAGTAAATGCATTTCTCAAAACAATTAGTCATTTGTGCACATCCTAGTAGCAGTTTCTCACTCCTTCCAACAAATTGCAGATACTTTTGGACATGCATCAATTGTTTTCAAACAACTTTCTGCTATTTATAACATTATCATTTGCTTATGTTATGTCAGTCAAAATTAGCTAAACTTGTCTAAGCTGAATAGTCATTCCATAGAAAACTCATAGTCCTCATTTCATTACTTGAGTCATTACATACAAAAATGGTGAACTATTTGTCAAAATCTGTCTAGCATATTTTATAAAACAAATTTAAAATATTTTCCTGAAATTGTCTTTAAAATTGAACAATTTAATGAATGATTTACAGACCTGTGTATGTTGTAGGCTCAGTTCCAATATGTTCTGCAATATTGTGTAAAGTTGTGCACAGCTCTACCTAAAGGGAGTTTATGTTTGTTGTAAATAAAGGTGTATTTATTCTTTTGCACAATGCTGTGAATAAATTAGAATTGCAAAGAGCAAATGCAGTAAAAATGTGAAACATACATATTCAGTGTCTTGTACTTAGATGCCTCACTAAATGCAGCGATGTCTAACTTTACTGTAGTTTTCAAATGGCTGTGCAAATAGTATATAGTGCTGTAATGAGCATTTTCAGGACGTGTCACCAACATCTGACTTTTTTGCATTGAAAAAAATGTAGAGTAAACTGTCATGATGAAAACATGACAAAGCCATTTGACTATCTTGTTCATTAATAATGGTGTCAGGACTTTTCATTATAATTATAATGACAATTTGATCGACATGAATACTTGCTTTTGAGGAATGAACTATCCATTTTGAGCATGTGACGTGCTTTTGCAGGTTATCAGCAAGGTTTTGCAGTTTGTACTAATTGTTTTGAGAAATGCATTAACTGTTGTGCAGAAATGCACCGGTGTTGTGAGAAACGCACCAAAGCGACTAAGAAAAACTGTAAAAACCAACTTAAAACAGTAATATTTTGAATTAGTTTTGTGATAAATATAACATGACATTTATGATTTAGTTTATTAATTATTAAATAGAGTTTACAACTAGGCATGGGACGATAACCGTTTTCAAGGTATACCGCGGTTTGGAAAAGTCAGGGTTTTAAAACCACCCAAAGTTTCTGTGATACCATTCCTGATTTTTTTATTTACTTTTTTTTTTTTTTGACAACAGTATCTTCTACAGAAAAGATATCTAAAAAATTATGTTTTAAGTTGTAAATCAGTGTTTTTTAAATGATGACAGCAGAAGTAAATGATTCATTTGAATTATTTTGCCTGACATGTTTGCTGCTTCATAATATTAAACAATTTTCTCAAAATAAAATATATTGTGCTCAAAGGAGAAAAAAGTTGTTGTTTTTTAGCCAGTCATGTAATAAGAATATATTTTATAGTAGCAATCACGATACTTTGAAACCGTGAAACCATGATATTTTTATCCAAGGTTATCATACCATCAGAATCTTATATCAGCCCATGCCTATTTACAACACTAGCACAAGAAGCACAACACAAAGGCAAGCAATGTCAATTCATGTTATTAAATATTTTAAACACAATTATCTAATACATTAGATCAAAGACATTCATTAGAGAAATGTGGACAACCTTTTGAAGGGTGTTTGACTTCTGTTTTCTTTCACAGATACAGTCGTCATCACCAAATGAGAAGTTGGGTTTAAGTGCCAGCGAACTGACTGAATTCTTCGCCATGTGGGAAGAATTAAACTTCACGGACTCCAATAACAACAGCTCACGGGTTGAAGCGCAAATGTGCCCGGCTTCTTTTAACCGTTCTGCTCTCCTCAATGCCATGTGCACCCTCTATGCCTTCATTTTTGTCGTTGGCCTGGCTGCCAATGCGCTAGTAGTGTGGGTCAACATGCGCTCTCAGCGTCATTACCACGAGACGCACATGTATATATTAAACCTAGCGGTGGCTGACCTGTGTGTAGTGGCTACTCTTCCTGTGTGGGTGAGCTCGCTGGCACAGGGAGGACACTGGGCATTCGGTCAGGCGGCTTGTAAACTCACACATCTTCTGTTCAGCGTCAATCTTTTCGCCAGCATCTTCTTCCTGACCTGCATGAGTGTGGACCGGTATCTCTCGGTGGTGCGATTTAGGGAGATTTCTCACAGACGAGGAAGACAAGTTCGGCGTTTAGTGTGTGCGATAACATGGCTGCTTGCTTTATTCGCCTCAGTACCCGACACATACTTCCTGCGGTCTGTAAAGTCACAATACAGTCACGTGACCTTGTGTCTTCCTGTATACCCAGAGGACAACCCTTTGCAGTGGATGGTGGGCATACAATTGAGTTTTGTAGTTCTTGGTTTTGCCATACCTTTCCCTATTATAGCTGTGTCATATGCATTGTTGGCAAACACTTTAGCTTCCACTTCCACTCATTCACCTTCAAATGGAGACCAGGATCGAAGCGTGAGCAAGAAGGTCATCTTAATGTACATAGTGGTTTTCATAGCTTGCTGGGCACCATATCATGCGGTGCTGTTAGCCGATGCTCTAGCCATGTTAGGTGTGCTTCCACTGGGCTGCAGTTCAGAGAATGGTCTGTTTGTGGCACTTCACCTTACTCAATGCCTGTCGCTGCTACACTGCTGTGTAAATCCTGTGGTCTACAGCTTCGCCCATCGCCACTATCGCTATGATCTCATGAAAGCCTTCATCTTCAAATACTCCACCCGTACGGGGCTTGCTCGACTCATTGATGGGTCTCAGGGTATTGAGACGGAGTACGCAATGGTGGAGAACAACCCTCCGACTGTGACTTAGAAGCCTTCAGATTGTCACCCTCAACCAAAGTTCTGCACTGCTTCAAAACACATAGTACCCTAACATGCTTTCCTGAAAACTGGATTCGAACATGTTTTCTGTCAATATAGTGATACATGCTTAACTGTGACTCTAAAGACACCGAATACGTCTTTTAAAACAAGCCAAAGACTTTATTGTTAAATCAGAACCACTCTGACTTGTTTCTCTGAAATAAGGAAAACCAAAAAATTGTTTGACTAAATCAGCAAATACTTAACAGTGACTGCGTAGATGTGGAATAATTCATTTAAAACAACAATTATTTATTAATTAACATTGTTCCTTTGTGTCAGAGATTGATGGGATTTGGATATTGAGATATCTGACTTGTTTTACCGCTGGCTCTGATACCACATCAGTTGGATTTGAACAGTGTTTTTTTTTTTTTTTTATCAAAATAGTGTATTTCATCTGAAATATGACAAAGAATGATGGGATTTATTTGTAACTACACGGACATGTTTTCAGACATGACACAACATTTTTTTACAACATTGTAAGTTGCTTCATTACTTATTACTCATTAAGTAATTATTACTTATTACTTTGAAAAGTGCCAAAGGCTGATGGGATTTTATTATACAACTCAAACCATAAATATTCAAACAAATAATTGATTCCAAATGAACATAGTATGTTACAGCATACGTCTTTGTAATTCAGGAGAGGAAATCTCCTTAAATTGTTTCCAGTGATGACTTCGCAGGACTGTCTGATGGTTTTCAATCATCATAATATGATTTAACAGTATTTAAGTATGTATAAGGTCTACAATCTATGAAGAACCAGCACTCCTGTATGTATTGTAACAGCATAGTAATGTAGCTCTAGTTCAATTGCTGCTAACTCTGTCTTTTTAAAGCACTTTCTTTGATAAAAGAGGGGCTTTTGTGGCTGGCTGGAATTGGCATTGCTTTTGTATTTTGAACCGTTTTCACATGTTCACTGAAACAGCTCATTTTAATGTTTGAACAAATAGAAATGAATTTTGTCTGTATTTTAATGTGCAACTGTATTTGCACTTAATTGTAGGATTTGTTCATGTGTATTTTATGTTTTATGATAAGTTGTTATGGTAATCTTGTAACAAAACTTAGTGCGTCATTGAAAGGGCATTTCCTTTTTTGTGTCTGTTTTAGTTATTTAAAAAAGGTAAAGTGTGTTGTATTTATTATACCTTTTGAGTTCTGATGGAACACCGAATACATTGTGCTTCAGAAATGTGCTTAAAATAAATACATTTAAAAGTACCTATTCAATTAAATTTGTCTTAGTGCAGTTTAAGTAATAACTACACATCAAATATTTGTTTATTATCTTACATATCTTACATTTATATATACATGACTATATATATATATATATATATATATATATATATATATATATATATATATATATATATATCTTCAGTACAGTTTTATTATATAGAAAATGCATAGTTAGGATTAACTCATGCATGAGCTCCTGGCCTTAATATGGATTGAATCAAGTCATGCCTTTTCATGTTTAATAAAAATCAGCACTGTATTACTGGTTCACCATCTGTTTAACAATGGTGGCCCCTTTTTATTTCGACCCCAGGGGCATCATAAAGATTTAAAGGTGATGGCTACATGCTTTGATAGTACAACTACAGTGGTAGAAGTTTTTTTTTTATTTAATTGAAAACACTCAAGATGATCATAACTATGGCATATTATCTTGCACTCAAGCGGATTTAACTACATGCTTTCAAGTGCGTTTAATGATCAATATAAAAGGGATGTGAATGCATAACTGACTATTAAACTTACTGTCTTGAGTGTCTCACCTTGATCTACACACTCAAAGGAGCTTGAATGTTTTTAAAATTGAAAACAGTTTGCTAGGTTTCCATGAAACATTTTGAACTAAGATTGTGTTGATTCTTCCGCTGGCCGCTTGACAATCATTTAAGCAATATCACGTATTAGCATGCTAGTGTGTTGTGCCAGCAAGAATCAATGTTTTTGAGAAAATCAAGGATTCAGTGACCCAACTACTTATTTTGTTTATGAACGAATTACAACTACTATATACAATCCATCTTTATTCATGGAAAAATAGAGTTTCCAAATCAAGCCAATGCAAAGCCACAAGGACATTAGAGCCTGATTTATGTGATCTACCTGATTTATTACAACCAGTGTGAGGTCTGTCATATTTTCAGCACTTTCTTGTGTTTAGACACCTGCAAGGCCTAAACAAAACTGCTTAAGGTCACACCAGTGGCTGTTCAAATACATCCTCTGATGGCTGTTTTTGCTTTACAAACCCAAAACATAAAAGGACAAAAAAAAATCTTATCTGAGCAATGTTACTGTCCAACATACTGTTGAAGTCACAATATCAAACTAACCCCTCAGTCTGCTTCACGCTTCATCAAAGATGGCATCATATTACTGTACAGCTAAAATGTTTTCCCATAATTAGCAGCTTGGTTGATTAACTCAGTTTGACCCATCTTGGTCTCATTTGGTTTTGATTTCTGTCTAATCTGTTAATTCCCTTCTCACATTGCTTAACATCCGCGGCATCTTTTTCTCGGCAGCTATTAATCTCTTTTGTAATGCTCAAAGAATTCTTGTCTAGTAAATAACTCCACAACACAACTAAACCTCATGACACTTGGACAACACAGTCAAAGCTTTAAAAGCATTAAACAGCTTCATAAATATGCTGTTCTTTCAAACACAATGGTCCCGAATGTAGGCTTTGACCATGTTCACCTCACACAGGGAAATAAAAAAAGACCACCAGTTTGAAACCGGTTATGACTCAAAGCACTTTTGTTTCTGTTATAAAAGGCCTCAGTTTATTGGTTGTCCAACAGCAAAGATGGTGAACAGTCAAATTTTAACAGCACTAAGACTAATAATTTAACTGCATCACAGTGCAGGCAGTACAGAGACAGACAAATATTTTCTCCAGAGACCATGATGAAACATTTTCGTTCAAAGAAAAATACCCATTTCCCGTAAGCTCATGACAAATTACATTTATACATGTTTCGCCTCACAGTAAGAAAGTTGCTGGTTCAAGAAAAGACTAGGCTGTGATGCTTGTGTGGACCAGCATGAAAAAATCGGCTACAGTAGTAATTTATAGTACGTACTGTAGTGTATTAAATTGATCTGTTGCAGTGATTCTATATGTGTGGATTCTATATGTGTGGACATAGTAAAATCAGCGTAGTGGGTGTGTTTGTGAACAGGAGAGTGTGTTTTTCTGCAGTGCAGGAGTTGAGCTGCAAGGGTAAGTAGTGATTCATTCCACTGCGGTGACTTATGATGAAGAAGGGAATAAATTGAAGAAAAGGAGTGAGCAAGTATTTTAGCATGTGCCGAATACATGAAAAGGTTTGCAAAAAGTTCCTAGTAAATAAACACTTACATGCAGGTCTTAACCTCAATACATTTCACCTAATTATGTCAGTTAATCCAAATTTCCACAGCCTTTAACAGATAAAAAATGACAAACCACAAATTACATTTTACTATCTGTAAACAAGCTTGAGTTTTCCCACTCGTTTTCCCAAACAAATGCTAAAAGAAGCACTTACCTTCAACCTCACGGTGTGAATAAACAATATACAAGCGAATAAAAGTATATATCTTCATGAATCATTTGTCTGATATTTTATTTTAGCCCTACATTAAACTTTCCATGGATGAAATGTGTCTTCAGAAAACAAACATTGTCTTTCATTTTAGTCTCCTCTTGTGGTTTGGCTGATTCTCTAAAAGGGATTTGAGAAACAAGGCAGAGAGTCACTGGTTCATGCAAGATGAATAAATAGGCCGGGATGGCGTGTAATGTGAACAGCAGGAATTCCTGTATGTTTGTTTTATATGTTTTTGTCTGTGATTGAGCTAATACTGTTTGTAGATTTTACACATGAAAATATTGCAGTTGTTAGGGATTTTTGATTAGAATGATCCTATAAAAATGTGTATGTATGATCAAGAAGGTAAAGATTTATTTTGGAAACAACCTTTGTCAAAACATTAGAGAATTCAGAAACCTTTTATTTTAAGCTACAATTTTCACCATTGATATAGGATTAACTAGGATTTTGCCTTAATAAACCCCCAATTCACTTCTTTTTAATAGTTATTAAGGTACAGTAGTAGTTGGTTTAGACAAACAAATAAACAACCAATATATTTAATACGCCAAAATAATAGAGAAAATTGCTACATAAAGTGTTACCAAGAGTTCTACAGTGGAAACATATACATAAACATAAACAAACACAACCATCAGTTTACATATTTCTTATGTTTCTGTTTCTTTGTCAAGACCAGAAAAATGTATTCCCTTGTTATGTAAATTTTAGGCATGCTCTAGTTGCCTCAGTTATGGTTTTTCTTTGTGAAAAATCAAACAAACAAACAATATGACTATGAAAATTATGATAATTATTTATGTGTCAGACTTCTCACAGAAATAAAATACATTTTAGACCTATACTAATAAATTGCACTCATAGATTGTAAATTTGGCATACAAATGACAAAATTTTTGAATATGTTGAGTCTGGCAGATTTGGGTGTATTTACTTATTTAATAAAGCTGATCACTACTTGCTAGCCAATATAGAATGGGTTTTACATTCCAGTGCGAAATTTGTAATTCTGTATTGTAAAAGTGTGTTTTATTAAATTACAGAAAATATCAACATTCATGATCAAGGTGTGATTGTGTGTAATTTATGTTGTAATGTAACATTGAGGACAAAAGTTATTATTTTACTCACAGGTTGGTGAGTAATGTGAAGACACAAACTGTCTTCAAATTTGGACTACAATCAAACAACTAGAGAAAGATGAAAGAATGATGCTGCAAGATGCTTCTAACAAGTTGAACATGAAATGCAATAATGATAACATGAAATAAGTTACACTATTTTTTCTATAACAAATTGTAATATCAGTTGGCGCAGTGGGTAGCACTGTCACCTCAAAGCAAGAAGGTAGCTGGTTCAAGCCTCGGCTGGGTCAGGCATTTCTGTGCGAAGTTTGCATGTTCATGGGTGAATTGGGTAACCTAAATTGTCTTTAGTGTATGTGTGTGAATGTGAGTGTATGGGTGTTTCCCAGTGATGGGCTGCAGCTGGAAGGGCATCCGCTGTGTAAAAAGTATGCTGGATAAGTTGGCAGTTCATTCCACTGTGGCGACCCCAGATTAATAAAGACTAAGCCGAAAAGCATATGAATGTAAAATTTTAAAAAGCTGTGATACAAAGAAACAAAGACTTAAACATTACTAATGCTGATGGCTCGACAGTTTTCGAATAAAACAATTATTCATGAACCCTGAGAAGCTTTTTTCTCTTTTCACTTTGCACAAATATTGCAAATATTGATGCCTCAAATTGCTGCCGTCATGAGTTAGCTAATTACCTGCAATGAAAACTATTGTGATTTCAAAAGGGTTATATATTATTTTAATCACTAAACAATGTACATTAACAATGCTAATATTATTATTATTATTATTATTAAATTTTGTTTTTATTTTTTTGCTAAACATGCTTTTGTAAGTGTCAAAACTGAAGGCATAGCTTGTATGGATGGAAGGTCATAAATCATCTACCTTCTTCTATATCTTGTCTCAAGAGTCAATCACCAATTTGTTTTTCAGCATCACTATCTACCCATAACAAAACATCAATTTGCAAGTCCACACATGTTCAGTTACATCATACTTATAATGTGTGGATATGTGGCAGTGAACTACATCTGAACTTCACAAGAAAACCGTTTCAGAAGTACTGTAAATCAGTCTGGTCAGGTTCACTGCGGTCCCCCTGTGATCTTACTGCATCCTAAAGTTTTACAGATGCCCTAGAGACTTTAGAGGGGTTCCACACTTGAACTAGTTAACCCTAGGTCGTTCTAAACTCAGGTAAACAGATCTTGATTTTTGATTCACTCATGACAATTAATTGGTGATAAATTGACAATTAATAGAGTATATGCAGAAGTATGACTTTCTAAAAGACTTTTAATTTGTCAGGAACTTGGGTTAAGTTCCGAACTGTATACCATTGTAAAATCGGTGTGTTTAAGGTCTGTTTTCTTTAAAAAATCCGCAATCTCCATTGGCTGAGTGATATCCCACACTCTCAGAAATAAAGGTACGCGAGCTGTCACTGAGGTGGTCCCTTTTCAGAAGGTACACATTTGTACTTAAAAAGTATGCATTAGTACCTAAACATTTTAAGAGTACTAATATGCACCCTTGAGGTATTAATGTGGACCTTTAAGTCACAAATTTGTACCTATTAAAAAAGGTACCACCCCAGTGACAGAACACGCACCTTTATTTCTGAGAGTGCATATAATTGGATCTCAGATTGTACGAGAAGCACTGCATTAGGTTACATTTTCCCACCATGTCTTTAAAATATGATTATTTACTTTACCCCAGTATATTCAATGGAGCTTCTAATCGGCGCTAGCCTGCCGATTCTGATGGGAGCATGCAAGTAAACAGCTTTTCGTCTCATTTTATGCTTGAGCAACTAAATGAATTCCAAAGTCTATTTACTGATTGTATTTTAATTAAATTACAACATCCATGCTGTAAAAGGAACCGTATAAAATGGAAAAAGGGACATTAACCGTTCACCGAAAAGTTTATCAGTATGGGAAGACTCAACCTACTCGACCTAAACCCTATTGACATACTGTAGGTTTGCATTGCAGTGTTATTTAAATGGATAAACATAGCAAAGTAATTGGTGGTACATTCCTTTTTTGGCAATCCCTGGTAAATTCAGGACTAAGGTGAGGGAAAATGAATAAGTGAGAGCATATGACAGCCTTTAAAATGGTCAGCTTTTTTATTACATTATCTGTCTTTAAAATGTACAAATGTGCACCTTTTGTAAAGGTAAAACTGCACCAGTGACAGCTCTTGTTTATTTCTGAAAGTGCATGTTTGATGTAGCAAAATCCTGGATGGTTTTTATTTATTTATCGTAAACCTGGTTAATTTTAGTTAAAGGATGTTTCCCACTCAAATCCTGAAATAACTGTTTATACAAGACAAGATTTCCCAAAGCACGTGCATATGAGGCATGAGATTACCTGCTGGAGGCACATTCTGACATCATGGGGCTAAACTCTGAAAAAAAGTGTGCTAGCTCATTCTGCTTTTAATTGACAAGTATGAATTGATGTTCGGTGACACAATGGCGCTGTAGATAGTGCTGTCGCCTCACAGCAAGAAGGTCGCTGGTTTGAGCCTCTGCAGGGTCGGTTGGAATTTCTGTGCGGAGTTTGCATTTTCTCCCTGCATTCGTGTGGGTTTCCTCCGGGTGCTCCGCTTTCCCCACAAGTCCAAAGACATGTGTACAGGTGAATTAGGTAGGCTAGATTGTCCGTAGTGTATGGATATTTCCCAGTGATGGGTTGCGGCTGGAAGGGCATCTGCTGCCTAAAACATGTGCTGCATCAGATAGCGGTTCATTGCACTGTGATGACCCCGGATAAATAAAGGAACTAAGCCGAAAAGAAAATGAATGAATGAATTGATGTTCAAGTGGTTTAGAATGATTAGCATTAGCTCCTGGAAATGTGCATCAAACAAAGTTTTATTTTTAGTGGAGTTTGTCACTTACTCTTTACATTTAGTATTACTCTCCTGGAGTGATCGCTAAGATCTAATGTTGTCACTTTCGTTATGGTAAAACATTTCACTGTCTTTTATGTATGGAAACATTTCGACCCCTATATAGGACTTCAGCAGATATTATGTGCTATATGCTGATTTGTGTAACTGAACTGTATTTCTCAAGGAGGCTAAAGGATTTCACTCTGTCATTGTGAGTAATGTGCTATTGTTTTTGCGAAATATACTCTGTCTATTCTCTCTGCTGTATGATGGACATACATTTCTTCTTATTACACTTCTGGGTTGGTTTAGGTTTAAACCCTGGAAGGAAAGAAATGAATGAAATAGAGAGTTTCACAGTTACTTCATCATTATGGTGACCTTGAGCAAGACACTTTTGGACAACGACCATTCATTAAGTGATGAATAACTGAACTGAACCCACGGTCAAGAGGAAGTCAGAGTCAAGTTTCTCTCTGGAGGTAGATAAGTGATGTAGATGGGCACATTGTCTTGTTTTCAGATCCCTGAAATGTCAGTGATTCTCCTATTGATACAGCATGAATCCCCATGGGAACATCTGGTCTGCTTTGGTAAAGACAGCTGAACAATCCTCTGGCCCTTTTCACATTAACCACAAGCATCAGCTCATACAATATGCTGAATCAAATATGTGTAGGATTAAGTTGCACATGGAAACTGTAGCTTGATTGGTAAACCAGGAAAGCAGGTTTATCCCACCCACTATTCTTTCTATTCATCTACACATCTCAAACTGGATTTCTGTTACAAAGACTCTGTTACTCAGAAAAGTGAAAAGAAAAGAAGAAGGTTGTTATTTAATTGCTAACAACATGTTTGTCTCCCTTATTTATCAGGGGTCGCTACAGCGGAATGAACTGCCAACTATTCTGGCATATGTTTTATACAGCTGATGCCCTTCCAACTGCAACCCTGGGAAACACATATACTCTCTCATTCAAACACATACACTATAGACAATTAAGTTCATTTAATTCACTTATGCTGAATGACTTTAGACTGTGGGGGAAATCGGAACACCAAGAGGAAACCCACACGACCATGCAAACTCCACACAGAAATGCCAACAGGCCCAACTGGGACTCGGATCAGCAACCTTCTTGTAGCTGCCGTCAGAAGCAATTCTTATATATTACACTCTATAAACATAAACTTTACATTAAAAAGGTCAATAAATAGTTAAAATGTTCAGAGTAATCATTAGAATAAATAAGTAATGTATATTTGTTGTTAATGCTTGTTCATTCATTTAAAGTTATTTAACTAAAACTATAAGGGGGAGGGGGGAACCTTTTCTTGTTATGTTTAGCTTGGGAATTATTTCATTGTTGCAATCAAGATATTCTTCCGTTGCACTACAAGTGGTACAGCCACAAGGTGCTGTGCTAAAACACGTTTTTAAGGATTAAGAAGTGCAAAGAAGTTTGTTTAGGAGAAACTGCAACCCTTCAAGTTTATTCCTCTTGAGTTAGAGAGGCCAATGAGGTATGTGTTGTATGGTGTTAACGAATGTGAACATGTATGATTATGTGTCTGTATGTTAATGTATAATTAGCCAATAAAGTGTATTTCTTTACATGTTGAATGTGCACTTTATCTTTTGGTTGTATGTATGTTGTTCATTACATGCAACATCACCTTTTAAAGGGTTAATTGAAATTTATGTATTTCTTTTCGTAGTTCTGACGGCAATATTGGGACATAAAGGAGTGCAAGGCTAGAATTTACAAGACATACTACAGACTCGTGTCCGAATAAATGTCAATTAAAATCAAGAACGACTTGAGCCTTTGTTTCATCTCGAGGGGAGTAACACTTCTTGAATTTTTAATTCATTCATACTTTTATAAACTCTGTTTGACTTTGTCCAATGGACAATTTGCTTTTGCTTAAATGCTTACTCCATATATTTTTAGAGGCAAATTAACATATTGCACAGTCTTATGAATATAGTCATTGATGCCATAGAAAAAAAGGGCTAAAAAACTTTGATCAAAAGTTCTATATATATATATATATATATATATATATATATATATATATATATATATATATATATATATATATATATATATATATATATATTTTTTTTTTTGGATGTGGTGAACATTTGTATATATTATTTTTGTTGAGGTGGATATTAAAAGTTTTGAATTGCAACCACTGATTTCAATAAGAAATCGAGGAGTATATTGTGTAAGAAATATGAAACTATGGAACATACTTTGTAGTTGTTTCAGAAATTTAATTTTGTTGCGTTACATTGGTATATTTGCATATGAATGTATTAATGTTTTACTACTAAACAGATCAATCTGTTGTTTGCTAACACATCTGTCATACTTTCTTTCACATTAGTTGGTCATTTCCTACAGAAACACTGATTCTTTTGTTTGGGCTGCTATGTGTTATAGCTCCATTTGCACCATAAACAAACAGGTGACTCCAGACTCCCTGGAGGCGTCATTCATCACTGCGGCATAACATGACAGGTAAACCCACCATGAGCAACATGATCCAAACCACAGTACTAAGCAAACAGAAAGTCTGCTTAGATCTACAACCTACATCTGCAGATCTGACTGCAAAAGAAGATTGTCAGAAGCTTTTAATGCTTTAAAGGCAAAGTCACTATTATGGCAAAGATTAAATGAGATGATGCACTGGCACCAAATACATTTGATTTTGGTTAGATATTTATATCATCAAGAACCACATAAGGAAATGAAAATGTTATGTTACACTGCATACCAAAGAGCAGAAATAAATGTGCTTGGCCTCTTTCTCATCTAAAGTTTTGGTTTGTTGTGTTAATACCACAGGAATGTGAGACTGGACAAACAAAATTATTTTAGAGTTCAGCAGAAGACAAATGAGTGAGATTTCTGTAAGCCAATATGTGTATTTCTATCTGGTCTGTTTATTTGTTATAATATTAATATTTGTTACATTATGTATCAAAAACTGCGTAGATTGTAATGAAAATCCATTCTTCCACTGACCATCTGTTTCTGCTATTGGCTCCGAGACTGGACCCCTGCAGAACTGGTGCTGTCCTCTAATATGAGGAATTGGAGGTATGCAGCTGAGACAGTGCTTCTCACGTCAGAGACATCAGGAATGAAGGAGTAGAAGCCAACACTATTCCCAAAAGCAACGCACACCATCATTCCCCACAGATGCACAGTGGAAACCCTTGCTACAAGATTTCAGATTCAGCCCTTGCCAACAAAACAAACATTATGTGCTATAATTATTGTATTTCCAAGAGAATGTCAAATGAGCAGCAATCTAAATGGCCCTAACTTTACTTTTGGCTTTGAACAATTTAGAGATTTTATTGTTTTATGCTGTAAATTACCATTGACATATCTTCAAACTTTACCCTTAAAATGTTGTTCTTTTGTATAAAAGTACAAATATATGGCATGTTTTTTTTTACATGTTTGCTTTTAGATAACACTATTTCAGCATTTTCAGAAGAGTTCAAATAATCAATATTTGTTAAAAGATTTGTTATTCTTACCAATTTTCTTTTCATGAAAAAAGAAAAACAGTAACAATACAGTACTTTATTTGGAATAATTTAGATATTGTCTCAGACTTATAATAAAACAAAAATTTTACTGAAAACCATATTAATAAATCCAGAAAATTCAGTGAAACTGAGAATTGTCAAGTGGTCTCTTATTTTTTCCTTAGCTTTTTAAATAAATAAAAACAATTCAGAAGGGAAGATATTTTATTGTAGCATTGCACAACAAATTACAGGTAATCACTGGCTCTGTGAATGTATTGGGCATTGCACTATGGACAAAACTATAGTGGTTATTACTGTTAGTGTTCAGGATATAACACATAGTGGCAGCTAGCTCTCTGCAACTCTCACATGATTGCCCACTGAAGCTATCAGGGCTGTGCCCGTTCAGTACCAGGATGTGAGACGGAGACCACATGGGAAAGCTAGGTTGCTGTCGGAAGTGGTTGCTGCCGGAAGACCCACACAGACCCCAGGTCCTAGTGCCCCAGTTTAGTGACGGGGACTCTATACTGCTCAGTGTGCACCGTTTTTCAGATGAGATGTTAAACCGAGGTCCTGACTCTCAATAAAAATCCCAGGATGTCCTTCGAAAAAGAGTAGGGGTATCACCCCGGCATCCTGGCCAAATTTGCCCACTGGCCTCAGTCTATCATGACCTCCTAACCATCCCAATATCATAATTGGATTCATCATTCTGTGACCTCTCCAACAATCAGATGGTCTGTGGTGTGCAGTGCAAAATGGCTGCCGTTGCATCATCCAGATGAATCCTGCACACTAGTGGTGGATGACCCTATGTGTGTGTACGCTATGTGTGTACAGTGCTTTGAGTACTCAAAAAAGCACTGTATAAATGTAAGGAGTTATTATTATTATTATTATTGTTATTATTATTATTATTATTATTATTAATTATAAGGCAGAGTGTAATTTTAAACAATTGGTAAAATGTAAATCCTTCCATTAACATTTGAATTCTGCTTGTTTGATTGTTGACGACTTTTACAATTACTTTACAAATAATTGAATATTTGGTTGTAATTAATGTTTAGAAATCTTTGCTTTGAGGTCCTTTTCATTTTGTACAGATGCATTTTGTGCATTCAACCCCCTACAAAAAACATTTTCATTTTATAAGCTGAAAAGGGTTTATTAAGCAGATGTTTTCTTTTTGTTTCAGCATGTGAAGTATAGGTGAAATGCATCATGAACAATGTCAATATTCTTTCTCTTTTAAATAACTTCCTGACCTGAGGACAAAAAACAGTCCAGGAAGACAAACAATTCTGAGGACAACTGAAGCTGTTACTCCTGCAAAGATGGAAGGATGGTGGAGGAGGAGATGGGAAAAGGACATTTCTGTCACAGACCGAATCATCAGACAGACTCAAAGGATCGGAAAGGAGAGGCTTTCAGGATGTTCTTCTGTAAACAGCCAAGCTCATCAGAGCTGTGCATCAGTGAAAGTTGTGATTAATATTAGCTAAACCTTGAAAGAATAAGCCTATGCTTCCTGATTGATTTTTACAAAATATTTTGCGTTTAAGCTCTAAATCAGTAATTTACATAAGCACAAAGATTAAATAATCTATCCACTTGCAGGAAACTTGAAAATGTTCAGAAAATGCTGCAGTAATGCTGGAAATATTGTCAATCTAATGTTCACTCTATTGCACATCACAACACAACACCCCCAACATAAACAACAAAAACATATTTTTCAATTAAAGAGAACAAAGATCTATTGATGTTAAACAACAAGCTGCTTGTAGAACACCTCTGCGGAATTGTAAACTACAAGTCTTTTGAGGACATCAGTTTAACTTTGGTTTCATCTGTGGTTGGTAATGTGATGACAGGTAAGCATTTGGTGTTTTATTTTCATCATAAGTTTTTTTTTTTTTTTCCAAATAACAAATAATTCTTTAACAAAGCAAGTAACATGCTATGGAAATGTGACTTTGTAAGGGGTCAGAAAAATGTAGCTTGTAAGAAACGCCTTATTTATTTATTTATTTATTTTTTAAACAAAAACATTTACTATGCTTTTCCAATCATCCTAATTTAAAATGTTAAACGTTAGTAAAAAATTATAATGTAGTTATAATTATGGGTTATGAAACGCATTGAACATCCTTATTTATTTTATACAGTTTATTCTCATCTCTTGAGCTGATTATCTTGATTATCTAATATATCTATCAGCGATATGCTGTTCAAAGACTTTCTCCAAAAAGCATTTGCGATGAGACAGATTTTCATTTCTATTTGTTCATGTAACATTAGGCACAAATACGTAATCGTTATTATTGTTTTTAGATATTATGTGACGATCGTCTGACACAGACTGGATTTATTTTTTTCAAATGGCGCCATCTCCTGACTGTAAATGATTAGCACATGACTTTTGTTTTGAAAGGCGCCTGGGAATATCAGAATAATAGCGGAAGTGTGCAGAAGTGGCAGGAGAAGCAGCATGGCGTACACGGCGAAAATCGGTCCATCTATTTTGAGCAGCGACCTGTCTCAGCTCGGGAGGGAATGCGAGCGAATGATGGAGTGCGGTGCTGACTATCTGCACCTTGACGTCATGGATGGGTGAGGAAAGTTCTTCATCTAACTTTATTACATAAAGTTGACTTGTAGGCATTTCGTGTGAGCAAACGACTCAGAGAAGACTAAGTTAAGTTAAATTGTTTCATTATTAACGTTAAAGATGTGAATTTGTCACATTTTGAGGAGTGGTACGGCATGAATTCACCCACATTACAAAAATAGTTGACACAATTTTAAGAGATTTCACAAAAATTCACATGTAAGTTACAGCCTGGAAACAATTAGCATTCCTGAATATTATTACATATTAGTTTTAAATGATCACACAATGTGCTTTAATTGTTATGTTGTATTGTATGGCACAGCAAACATTTCAGCAAACATTACTCAAGTCTTCAGTATCACATGATCCTTAAGAAATCCAATCAATATGTGTTGACTAGTTAATCTGTACCGAGATAACCCTTTTAGACTATATTTTGCAAGTCTGTATCAGTTTTGCTCTTTCCATTTTGAGTTTCAGGTCTTATTTTGTATCATATACACATTGGATGTGTAAAAAGTTGATGAATTTTCCTGAAACACTTTATCTTCATATGTGCATATTCAAGGCATTTTGTTCCAAACATCACATTTGGGCATCCAATGGTGGAATGTTTACGAAGCTGTATCGGACCTGATCCATTTTTTGGTGAGTTCCAGTCTTTTATGGATGCATGTTTCTATTGCATTGAAGCTGCACACATACTGACCCTCTTCTTTGGGACAGTTTTGTTAGTTTTTCTCTGAAGAGGGCAGTCTGCTTTTTGTTAACAGTTGGACTTTCTTTCTGTACGGTGTTTGTTTTGTGAATATTTGGAGGCTATGCTTAACCTTTGCCTTATTGCAGACATGCATATGATGGTATCCAGACCAGAGCAGTGGGTGAAACCAATGGCAGCAGCTGGAGCCAATCAATACACTTTCCATCTAGAAGCTACAAGCAACCCCGGCAATCTTATCAAGGAAATCAGAGAGAGTGGCATGAAGGTTTGTGAAATGGGGAAAAGCGGGCTTTGTTGTTTTTGTGTCATGCTACGTAATTCATTCATGCATTTTCCTTCAGCCAAGTCTCTTATTTATCATGGGTTGCCACAGCAGATTGAACCGCTAATTATTCCAGCATGTTTTACACATTGGATTCCCTTCCAAAACCCATACACTCTCGCATTCTCACACACACACTCATAAACTATAGCCAATTTAGTTTATCCAATTCACCTATACCACAAATTCACCTAAACCACATGTCTTTGGACTGTGGGGTAAACCGGAGCACCTGGAGCAAACCCACGACAGCACAAGGAGAAGATGCAAACTCCACACAGAAATGCCAACTCGAATGAGTGACCTTCTTGCTGTGAGGCGACAGTGCTAGCCACTGTTCTGTAAATGCCAAATAATAGTTTATATAAATAGACTAATTGCAAATTTAGCATGTTTTGAAATAAATTTAAAAAAACGTGTCCGAGTATTAACAACTTTTCTTCCATTACACCCAAAAGCATTCATTATAAAATGAGCATATGATATAAGAGTAATAATTAATTTGTTTGTTTGTTGATGCTGTGATTGCTATGGCACTTTGGCTTTAGCTATCATCTTAAAATAATTGACTGCAGGTTCATTTTAGATTTTGGCTTTGACATCAAATTTGAGATCTGCGAGTTATTAATTTCATAAGTTTAAATGAGGTGTCAGTAATCTCAGATTTTGTTGTATACAACTAGAAGTTATAAAATGTTTGACAGTGAGTATGTTTACATGGACATCTAATCCGACTTTAATGCGATTACGACAATATTCTCATTAATGAGTCTACCATGTAAACATTGATTTTTTAAAAAATTTATTTATTTATAGTTTTTTTTAAATTAATTTAATCCAATTAAGGTTAAGAGAAATCGAATTAAGACCTGTGGAGTATGCTGATTTTAGTTGCATTATCAAAGTGCAGTACAGACATGTAAGCACCTTAATCAAAGTATTATCGTCATGTAGGACTTTTCAGCGCGTTTTGCAACAGGATAGTCCACACACACACACGCACAAATACACGGCTGTGCATCTATTGAGTCTGTGAAGACCACAGACACCTGCATTTAGAAATGCGGAGGTTTTTATTCTTCCATTCAGCATGCGGTATGAACTTCCATTAAAACAACACTCTTCCAGCAGTTCATAGTTGCATCCAATATCTCATTCGTCATGGCGGGCATGCATGAAATGTTTCGAATGAAAGTGAAAGTGCCAAACTGCAGTAAAGTCAACAAATTAAAAATGAAACGCCTGAAATTATATGAAACTCCAGAGGAAATGCGAATAGCGTGGCGACGCAATGACGCTAATAGAATCATGTGCTATATCATGTAAAACGGGATCATGATAGGAGCACTCAAAAGCAACTTATGCAAACACATTAATCATATCATTGTCTTAATTAAATTAAGGCAAATAATTTAATTACTGATGTCCATGTAAACATAGTCAGTGTCTTTGGGTCCTTATAAATAACATGTACATGCTGATTACAGTACAGTTTGTTTAATTGCAACCCAAAAATCATAATTTAAGCCATGGGTAACAAGCAAATTGCTTATACATTGTAATCTGTGAATGATGAAAAATGACATGGTAATGTATTCAGATATTCTGACTAATTTCATATTACTGTTGCCTTAACAAGTGTATAAAATAGACATAAACAGTGGCAAATGAAAGTTTGTGGACCTCTAGAGGAATGTGAATAGTTTTTAAGTAATAGGTACAATTATTGAAATAACTTAAGTTTGTGAGTCCTTGTTTTTTAATACTGTGTGTGGTTACTTGCATAATCTACTGTACACTTGTTTTGTTTATTTATGTATTTGTGATGATTGTTTAAGATTCTCTTGCTTGTTCTGGACAGCTTGCTGTTTATAGAAATAAAAAAAAACATGTCAGTTTTTTTATGACAATTTCTTTCTTTTTTTTTTTTTATTTCTTAACTCCAGGTTGGTCTTGCTATTAAACCTGGTACAACTGTTGAAGAATTGGCACCATGGGCTGGACAGATTGACATGGCTCTTGTCATGACAGTAGAGCCTGGCTTTGGTGGTCAGAAATTTATGGAAGATATGATGCCAAAAGTATGTCAGTACATCCATGTCTTTATTTAGATTCTTCAGACAATAGTATTGGACATTGAAGATGTTTGTGTTTTTTCACAGGTGAGCTGGCTCAGGGGTCAGTTCCCATCTCTAGACATTGAAGTGGATGGTGGAGTCGGTCCAGACAGCATCCACAGATGTGCTGAGGTAAAGCCACTTACCCTTCACATATTTATTTGCAAAAATAGAAAAACATTCAACTCTGTTATGTTTTTACATGCCGTATTGCAATTTGAACATGTATAAGTATGTTAACTACTTCCAGAAAATGAAGTCCCCTCCTAAGGGAGTTATTTTTTTAATTCAGTAAGCTCTATTTCCCAAAATGTCTTGGTTGTTATCTTGATTTATTTATTTATTTATTTATTATGCAAACATCAACACCTGTTGAATTAAAAAAAATTACCACCTAAAGCAAGGCTAACTAAATGAGACCTAGTTGAGTTGTGTTAGTCATTTGCTGTATACAGAAGCCCTTCCTGCCACAACCCAGCACTGAGAGTACAAACCTCAGTGCTAGGAACACTACGAACACATCCTCCTGTTCTTACATTTCAGTCAATATATTTGATCCAATTCAGCTGTACTGGACTGAACTTCTTTCAATATCGCTTCTGCATGCTGTTTTGAATGCTATTGCTCTGCTGTTCAAAACTGTGCTCTTACAGGTATGATTGCTTTAAAACTATGTTAGTCGTGCACAGTGTTATTTTATGAATGGGCTAAATGCATGAAGAAACTGAAAAACTTGAGCCACTGAAAAACTACTAATATAAGGTTTATGTGGCCATTTTCAATTTCATAAGTGATCCTTTACAGCATCACTAATGCAATTTAATTAAAATATAGTCAGTTCAATTGAGCTAAGCATTCATTTAGTTGTTCAAGTATAAAACTTGATGAAAGGCTGTTTAAACACAAGTGTGGCACGTTAATGTCATTTGTTGTCTTGGAAACTGTGATAAGAAATAAGGAAGTGTAGTGTACAGAGCGATATGGATGACAGAATGTTTCCCTTTTTAACACTTTTTATTTCTGTTATTCCTCTACCTGCATCCTGTCAAAAACTGAAAACCTGCTAGATATAATATAGCTTTTGCGGTATTTAAAAATACTATGAAGTTTTCTCACATTGGAATGACATGATCTAGTGTTATAAGGATGTCTGTGGTCAGCTATTCGGTGTGTGCATTCACGACTTCAGGTGGCATGGCTTTGGACAGCAAGGAGGCATTTTCACAGATCGCCTACTGCACCTTTACCTTGACAACACAGCTGGCATAGTCTTTCTGATGTGATTTGGGAAAAAATTCAATGCAACCATATAAATATAATCAATGCAGTTAATCAATCCTTTAATCCGTGGAATAAAAAAGCAACAAACTGTGTTGGTTAAACGTACTTCACAGCAGATTTTGCAACCCTGCACAAATAAGGAAGAAGTAGCATTTGATTTGCAGTTAAAGAAATGGTGTATTTAGTGGTCAATTGCAGTATGACATAATAAAAGATCCTTGAGAGGTTTTAAGCTGCAAGCTTCATGCACATTCTTGGAACATCTTAGAGTAACATCATATTTAATATATTTTCATCTTGTTTAGCAAAAAAAGGTTTGACCCAATTTTTTATTTTTTTTTTACTCCAACATCCCTAGGCTGGAGCAAACATGATCGTGTCGGGCAGTGCCGTGGTGAGCAGCGATGACCCTCGTTCTGTAATCGCCCTCCTCAAAAATGTCGTTATGGAGGCTATCCAGAAACGTTCTTTGGACCGTTGAGCATCTTGAATTTTTACCTGATGTCAGTTTTCAGCCACCACTGGAAGTCATTCCTGCAGATTCTGAGAGTCCGTTGTAGTGTACAGTTTGTTAAATGAATTCTCAGTGGTGCTTGTGAACGGACATGATCCAATGTTGGATGTGCCGAATCTTCAAACCACAGGAACTGCCTTTACCCAGACTCTTGCTTACGTCAAGCTGGAGTTTTCAGAGAAAAGTGATCTGAAAGAATGGGTCTGTTCCTTCTACACCAGTTTGATCATTCCTCTCTTAAGTAAACTCTCTTTACTTAAGTCAATTAAGTCATTTTGTTTGATTTGTCAGTTTGTCGCAGCATCTGTTACTGTTGATGAGGCTGCAGATTATCAATTTCAACAGTTTTTAGTTTTTAAGTTGAAAAATGACATTGAAATTGAGTTTTGCATGTTTTCAATACTGTAAAGTAGAGCAGGTATTGGCATGGACAAATGAATTCTGACACATTCCACAACATTTCAAGTACACTCTGAAATGATAAAATTATAAGCAAAAGACTTGTGGTGTCAATTGTCAGTCCCACTCACCCCAGTTAAATCATAGGAACATGGAAATGTAGCTGTTAACATTCGATATAATCCCACTTTTCATGGTCAACATTAAAATTGAAAGATTTTATAGTGCAAGTGTAATAATCCTATTATGAATTATTCATATTTCTTTTTTTTAGTTTTAATTAAATTACTATCACATACCCCCACAATTTTTTCTCCTATCAAGTTTGCATCCACATCTGCCTCTTTCCAAATAACTTAAGTTTAATTTCAATGTTTATCTTAATAATAAAGCAAAAAAAAATGTTTATATTTTGTGACTTTGATACATATTTTATTACATGCAGCTATAAAATAAAATACATCTGTGTTGAAGAGTGAAATATATCTAAATACAGAACACAAGCAGATTATTTCATGCTGTCTGAGGTTTTCAATGCGTTTAAGTCAGTCCATAGCCAGGACCTCAGGATAGCACAACCTGTGCTTTCTAAAATGTGATCCTTCACTTCTTCGTGATGTCCTTCTACCAAACCTCCCCACGGGTCGTATTCCTCTGTCTTTATACCACATAGCATCAATGTTTGGATCTACAGGGAATAACGGCATTAGGAAAAAATAAGCATTGTATGTGGTATACTAAGAATATTAAAAAGGCATGCAAAATGTCAAATCATTAAAATCTAACCTCTCATCTCCAGTGAATGTAATGGAAATCCATCATGGGGTTTTGGCTGGGTAAAACATGCTAGTAGCATTAGAAAACAGAGAATAGTGCACAGCTTTACCATGACTTACTGTAGTGACTAACACCAGACAAAGAGAAAAGTCACCTGAAATAAAAATCACAAGAAACATCAATATATAAATAAGTGTTTAAATAATGCTTCCAGACCAACAAATTGTTCAAAAATTACTATAAGCATTGCACCAAATTAATATTTCTTAAATCATCTTTACATTCAGGCTACTACTATTTGAGGCAATTAAAATCTACATATTTCACTTTTTTTCTTCATATTTTTAACTAAATAATTAAATAATCTACTAAGCTATTTCATTTATTTAAAAAATTAAGAGTTTATCAATACTTACAAAAAGTCCTTTAATGCAGAAAATGCATAAATGTCTTCAAGATTGCCGTGTTTCCCAATAATTTATCATCTCAAAATTTTGAAGTAAATCTCATCATATGAACTTCTGAGCAGCTTTCGTTCTCAGAGCTTGAAGGTATTTGCTCAGGACAGACGGATCCAGCAATTTATACTCCGTATGTGGGAGGGTGAAGGCTTAAAATTTACTCGCACAAAACATCAGAATGAAGTATGCAAATGACAGTGATCAATTGGACACGGAGAAGGTGAGAAACCAGACTATGCTAAAATTGAGCTTGCAAATACATCAGTGCAGAATTATGTGTTCATTAATAAATCACTGACATGGACGACAATGGAATGGAAAAGACATTTGCGCAGTTAAATTATTTAATGTACAGAAATCATGTTTACAATATTGTTTCAAAATATCATATATATATATATATATATATATATATATATATATATATATATATATATATATATATATATGATGTCAGAATTATTAGCCCCCTTTTGAATTTTCTTTTTTTAAATATTTCCCAAATTATGTTTTATGTTTAACAGAGCAAGGAAAATTTCACAGTATGTCTGATATTATTTTTTTCTTCTGGAAAAAAATCTTAATTGTTTCCTTTTGGCTAGAATAAAAGCAGTTTTTAAATTTTTCAAAACAATTTTAAGGACAAAATTATTAGCCCCTTTAAGCTATATTTTTTTGATAGTGTACAGAACAAACCATCATTGTACAATAACTTGCCTAATTACCGCAACCTGCCTAGTTAACCTAATTAACCCAGTTAAGCCTTTAAATGTCACTATCAGCTGTATAGAAGTGTCTTGAAAAATATCTAGCAAAATATTATGTACTGTCATCATGGCAAAGATAAAATAAATCAGTTATTAGAAATCAGTTATTAAAACTATTATGCTTTGAAATATGTTGAAAAAAATCTCTCCGTTCAACAGAAATTAGGGAAAAAAATAAATGGGGGCTAATAAATCAGGGGCGCTTATAATTCTGACTACATATATGTAATTCATAAAAAATACATTATTTAAAATACAAAATACATTATTTAAAATACATTTTTTCATGAATTGTGAAGGAAACTAGAAATCTTTCAGTATAAATGCAAATGCTTTATCAAAACAACAATGTGAATAAGAGTAATGTAGTAACAATATATATTACGTGCACAAATTACATTTTCTATCATAAAAGCACATGCTAAAGGTGAGCTTCATTTCACAATCTGACATTCATCTACTGAACGATTAAAGCAAATATTAATAATACAACATCAAGCTGGATGTCCAACACACAAAAATAAACACTTGCAGCTGACATTGAACATTAAATATGCATTATGTGAATCTGTCATTGTTTTGAAATTGTTCTGTCATTGTTTCACATAGTGACCAACTTCCGTAATGATCTTGCTTCATTGCTGCCTCCTTCAGAGAAAGCAAAAAGAGCATTATCAGTGCTTACAGATATATACAGAATACTGTTTTATAATAAATCTTTTGATTACTTTCTGAGAATTCAACCTGTTGAGCATTTCTGAATATTACAGCTCCTTTTATAACTAATTTTCCAAATGCTCTTTCATGACCACAGATGATTGATGGTCAGTTAGATTCAGAGGGTGAGCATGGGACCTGATTGCTATCAGTGTAATGTGTTAAAATCACAGTGTTTGGTTCAGAGTGCATCATAAGGAATCTTAACCATATTCAAATGTTTAATCATGACTTACATGTTTTAGTGATTGTATCTGGGAAATGTGGAAACCCATTTTTATTTGCTTGAACAATACTTCTATAGTTTTAAACTGTGAATCGGCACAATGCTCATTTTGGGAAAGATTCCACTTTTTAAAAGTCTGTGCTGGGTTTGATATTTTGCCATGTAATTACAAACAAATGTATCCCCATATTTTTTTAATCCGCATGTAAAAGTAATGTAAATTAATTTGCAATAAACAATTCTAAATTTTTGGACAAAACACTTTTCAGTTAAATCAATGTACAATAATCAACATTTTAATTGGATCCAAACCTTTTATCAAAGTTGCCCTAAAGCTATTTAAAAACGCCCATTCTTGAAGTGTAATAATTTTTAAAAAACTTTTTGGATCCAATAAAAATGTTGACTCCTGTAGACATTCACTAACTATTGACATTTGAGTGCTGGACAAAAAATGTTTCAGAACTTTTGAAAACAGAAAAATGTTTTTGCAACACAGAGATTCAGAAAAAGTTCACAACCATCAACTTAAATGATGCAGAATAAACAAGTTAGGTCAAAGTATTTTAATAAAATAATAAAATAAAATAGAAGAAAAAATCTAAAAGTAATAACCTAAACGATTATGTAACTAACTACAATTTTCAACATGTAATTTGTAATCAGTAACAGACTACAGTTTGTAAGTAATCTACCCAGCACTGATAACAGATTACATGTTCTTGAAAATGCAGTGTAAAACTTTGCTCTTACTAATTGGAAATGCATGCAACATCCTCGATGGCTGAGGAGTCTAAATGAAAAAGGGAAGAACAGAAAAATATATTTAGCCTTTGTCTGAATTTGCTGCAAACAGCTGTTATAAACATAACAGAATTTATGATTGGCTGGCTCATGTTTGGTCAAAAATATATTTTATATGTAAATGGCTTTGTGCTTGATCCTGTTCTGGAAAAATAGGAATGTGCGAGTATGTGCATCTCTACATACCCGTCTGCGGGATGTCTCCACTGTCATCCCTGCTGCACTCAAAGCAGCGATTCGTTTCTGAATGTCTGTAACCTTCACATAAAGCAAACAGTAACCATGAACAGACAGGTAGTTAAAGTATAGTTCAGTTCTTTTTGTATATGGTCACAGATGAAGTTGCACATCCTTGCAAACGAAGTTTACTTAATTTAATACCATGTACAACGAACACATACACTTGACACATCTGCGCTAGTGTACATGTAAACTCAAACATCTGGAGCTTTTTCTAGTTGTTTTTTTTAAGACTGTGAAACCATAATCTGGTTCAGAGTTGCCACCTGTGCATATCCTGTTCAGTTTGAAACAGTTAATGAAGTGCAAAACTTAATATCTAATGTTAAAAATATGTGTTGCACATAAGGTAGTTTACTCTGTGATCAGTGGAATCTAGATCAAATCACATCTGGCTGAAGTTTATCAGTATGTTGAGCTCACAGACTGGGAGGTTTTTTGAAAGTCAGCTAAAGTAGTTCAAGTCACACATGCAACTTTTACATCTGTTAAATACTGTTAAAATGTCTGTTAATTAACAGTTTTCATATTTTTTTCATTTACAATTTGAAATAATCTACAAGCAATATGTAGAGAAAAAATCTGTAAAATAACAAAACATTTAATTGCAGTTTATTACAAGGTTTTTGCACAACACCAACCCAAGCAATATATCACCTTAAACTATTAAAAATGTTAATAAAAGTCACTTTTTTCTACTTTTTTACTTTTGGTAGAAAGGTCAAGATTCCATATTAATACAGAATACAGATTTTGTTAGTGTTAAAAGAAAGAATATGGACTAAAGTGACGTACCCCACTTTGAGTGCTCTGGACGCTGGCTGCTGCCATTGCAACTTTACCCTCCAGCTGTGACAGCTCACAGCTAGTTGTGTTACTAAACTCAAAGGAACTCACCCTCTTCTGCTTTTTTAATGATTTGTGTGCATTCGGCTTTGCTTTCTGGAGTATACAATTGAAAACATAGCAGATCATTCAGGACAGTAAGGTGGTAAAATCACACACCATTAACATGAAGTATTGGTAAGGGAATATAAATAAAATGTCACGTTTAATAGGTCTAAGCATGTATAGTGATGTATGTTAAATGTGTACACAGAGTACTCTCACCCATTCAGCCTCAAGAGGCCAGTCAGGTCGGACAAGTCCAGCTGAAGCTCCTCTTATAGGTGAAACTTGGTAAACTGCACTTTTCTTTGGAGAGGCCATTGGTGATTTAATTGCATCTTCCTCATCAGATGAAAAGCCTTTGTCGCTTATTTTTTCAGTGAGTTCATCAAGCTTTTTCCTAAGCTCAAGCTCCTCTAAATCAGCTGGAGACAAATCCTCAGCTTTCTGCTCAACCTACAGGGAGTCAGGAGAGTCTCTGTGTGATATTTGAATAAACTGTGTCCTGTAGTTAAGTTATAGGCATAGGTGGGTATTAGATTCTGGCGGTATAATAAGCTTGGATAAATATATGGTAAATTAGTAAATTTCAAGGTATCACAGTATTGTGATTACTGCTCTAAAATATATCATTTTGGGTAAAATGTTTGGGTAAAAACAAAGATTTCCCCCCCTTTGAAATCAATTTATTTTATTTTTTGAAAGATTTAAAATATTTTGGAACAGTAAATGTGTCAGGCAAAATAATGAAAATGAATCATTGACTTTTGCTGTCTTCGTTAGTTTCAAAAAACACAGATTTAAACAATTTAAAATGGCATCTTTAGAAATCTTTTCTGCTGGAGATACTGTTGTCCTAAAAAACAAACAAACAAAAAAAAAGTAAATAAAAAAAATCTTACACATACCTTAGGAATGGTATTACAGAAAATTTTGGTGGTTTTAAAACCTTGACTTTTCCAAACTGCAGTGTACCTTGAAAACGGTTTTCATCCCATGCCTGAGTTAAA